CCTCAATCCATTCAAACCAATCACTAATCGATTCATTGGTTTTGATATAAAACTTTTGAAATCAAAACATTTGTTCACAAATCATATGGAAATCACAGTTTTATAGCGTTTGAGACCTTTTTATACATTAAAACTTTGAGACCATTTGAACACTAAATCTGTGCTACAAATTCATATAAATTGGGCACAAATTGCTTCAATTTCTCGACATATTTGTTGATTTCTATCAATAGATGGAAATATAGTTTGTTTCAAATACAGATCGCCAGAATATTCTGTGAATTCTGTGTTTAATCAAAATTTATGGCATATTTGAGATATGCGGGGGTTTTAAGCAAATATATTTTGTTTGAAGTGTTTTTTATTGAGTTTTTTCTATTTACATAAGTATTGTATTTGAAAGTTTGTGTTTCTTAAAGAAATGTTTTATATTGTATCATAAAAAGTCTTGAATACATATTACAGATCCACTGGACACAGAATTGTCTACAAATAGCGAGTCCACAGAAATAAACTACACTTTAGCTGATGATATCTTAGTTACCACACAATCAGACGATCTGAAAACAAGTCCTGAAATAAATACATTAAAAGCTGAAGACATCGACACCACAACTATTGGTACTATCAATGAGAGTATAGTTGATAATAATGGCACCAATTGTTCCGATTGTCTGAACGCCAAGTATTTGAATCATTATTACGCCAAAGGGTGTAAACCTATCTTTGATGATAAACACTGTACTGAATGTCCGAAAAAGTTTGATTGCATTCAACAGATTGACATCGAGTTAGCAAATAATGGTTAGTTTGCATTCGCAGTACTATAACCTTATATACGTAAAGTCATACAAACATTGAGTTCATCTAATAATGACTTAATTGTTTTTTATAACAAAAGAGTGTTTATTCAATGGAAGCAAATACAGAATCGGAGAACACATACCGGTGCCTAACCCGTGTCAGGTGTGTCAGTGCGGGTTTGGCTTCACCCATAAAGTGGACAGCAGTCCATTCACGACAATACATTGCATTTCCAGGGAGTGTCCCGAAAATTTTGCTGTCCATCCCTCCCCTTTGGCCGGACTCGAGAAGGACTTCGAGAGAATACACAACTGTTATAACGTTTACGAGTCTAACAAATGTTGTGCTGTTTCTAAGAAATGTAATCTACTTTTGGACATCACATTAAACACATGCAATACTACAGTAACTAATGCTTGAATCACACCTACAGGTGCTGACCCTTCCGATGAGGAAAAAGTTTGCGAATACAATGATAAGAGGTATAGAATCGGAGAGAAGATATACCCAAACGAAGATAAATGCAAAGTCTGTATCTGTAATGAGGGCTGGAATTCAAGCGAAACCATCAATAATAAGGGCTGTTATGCCGTTCAATGCAATCTCGAGATCGACAGACAATTAAAAGAGGGATGTCTTCCCATATATCACGAGAACACCTGCTGTCCGATCGACTATTATTGTCGTCAGTATTGCTCATTACAAGTACTTTTAAATTGTTTTTCTTACTATAATTTATTAATTGTTTTGCAGCTGAAAGAGAAACTGGTGATAAGGGTCGGTGCAGTCAGCCTCCGGATGCGGGTCCATGTGTTGGCATTTTTAAAAGGTTTTATTTTGATGATAGAGACGGCCAGTGCCACTCGTTTGTGTACGGGGGCTGTGGGGGCACTGATAATAATTTTAGGCATTTAGAGGATTGTATGCAAACGTGTGTTCAGTCCGATCTGAATTCAAACCAAACAAAGTCTAGTAACAAAACTGTTGAACGCATTTTGTGTACGGGGGCTGTGGGGGCACTGATAATAATTTTAGGCATTTAGAGGATTGTATGCAAACGTGTGTTCAGTCCGATCTGAATTCAAACCAAACAAAGTCTAGTAACAAAACTGTTGAACGCATTCATCCCATTGATGCTCAAGACAACAGTTGTCTAATCAATGGTAAGAAGTATAGCATTGGCTCTAAGCTTGATATCGGACAGAGATGTGTCCACTGCACCTGTCGTATACCACCGGAGTTCACATGCATTCAAAGGTCATGCCCACCCACCCCACCGGACAATGCGTGTAAAGTAACGTACAGTCCCTCCGAGTGCTGTCCAACATTTGATTGCAATTATAACAAAAGTGAGTCAAACAACAATTTAATTAATAAAGTCCTAATTGTGTATTCAATTGATACCATTTAATAAACTTCTACTACTTTATAGACAATAGTCTTCCAGTTTTCAATAGTTGTGCTCAAAATCTAAAAGTCTATTCATTTCTATGGCTTTTGGGCTCTCAATTAGCTCACACTCTGAGACATACTTTCGGGTTGGCTCTCACTTTCCTATTATATTTGATTAACTTTTATATGAATTAATATCATAAATGTTTATTAAAAATATATCACAATAATTATGAATTGTGTTAATAGCAGCTGATCAGACATTTGATCCGTCGAGTTGTCCGACCCCTATGTGCGCAACGGGTTGTCAATTTGAGACATATCCAGACCGATGTCCCACTTGTGTCTGTAAACCATCGTTTGATGCCAAAGAAATGCTTGAATATGATGTCTCTGATGTTTAATGACATGTATTATACTTATATTTGTTAAACATTTAAAATCCTTTTAGTTTATTATAGTAATGAGTACAGTATACTAATATAATTAATTACTGTAATTAATTTACAAATTAATTAAAATATTGCTTTGTAAATTTAATTGAAATTAATATATTAGATATTATTCATATAAGTTATCATTTAATTAAATTATTGATTCCAATTCTTTTAGAAAGTTTGATAATTTATAAATTAATAATTAATGCTATAAAAATATCATTATATAAAAGTAGACATATAAAAATGTATTAGGTTCACAATGAAAATTTAAAGTTTTTTAAATAAAAAATACATAAAATTAAAGTATTATTATATTTTTAGTCAAATTTAAATCATATAATATAAAGTAATATCCTTTATTATTTATAGAATTTATGAATTCTAAATAATTTTCCACTTTCTAGATGCATTAAGTTTAACATTAAATATTTATATAGACAAATACTGGTATAAATTGTAGACATTGCAAACTTTGACATGTGTTGTGAGAATAATATTGAAAACTCGAGAATATTCCGTGAATTCTTTGAATTAAATGTCAAAATAGGTCACTAAATATGAACTGCACTCCAATGTTATGGAATTGTCAATAATGTACTGCAAGTTGCAACACATTTGGACACAATATCTACCGGGAAATTGTCGGTTCAAAACTGTTCAATTTATTTTGACATCTAATTAACTATTCAAATTTTTTGCCTATGAAATCCACTTAACCATTGTATTTGAAACAAGGTTTTTACTGAGAATTTCAAACCAATTATCGTTATATTTATTTCTATTTCAGTGAAAATAAAACATACCATGAATTCAAATGAAATGTGGTTTTGAGACTAAATATATTGATAGTATTTTCTCGGAATATTGATTAAACCACGTTTTTGACAAAAGTTTATTACTGTACTTATTATAT